CACTACCTCTGCTGGCATCATGGACCATGAAGAAGCAAGGCGCAAGAATGTTGGTGGGAAAGTTCTTGGTTTCTTTTATTAGAAAACATGTTTTGTTGTCTGTTTTGTTTGAATCCCTTTTTTAATCAATAGTGATGAGTGATGAGCGGATCTTGTTTTGGAATGATGTTATTTTTGATGGCTAATTATTTTAAGCAAATCGTACTGGATGTTTGTTAATCAATTATCGTTTTGTTTTAAGCTCATTAATTTCATACAGGTTATTTCCTTCATTGTTTGGATATTTCTTTCTCTTTACACAGAGTCACAGAGTTTTGCAGTCTATATTTCATTTAGATGTATTTAACCATGCCCAAACCAGTTCCAGACCAAAGATGGACTGGGATTGTGAGATGAGCATTTTAACCTAAAAATGTACTGATAACCCGGTTCGTAGAATGGTATACAAGTATACAACTATATGACCCCGTTCCAAACATCCAATATTTAAATCGTGTTGTGAAATTCGGAACTTCCTGACCTCCAAAGTCCAAATTGGCTTGTATTTCGTGTGTAGTATACATGTGGCATGTGCATACTATAAAGTCTATACACGTGGCATGTGCATACTATACCGTCTATACATGTGGAATGAAATATAGTCACATAAATATTATCAAATAAATTATATACCTCCTTATTTAAATGGTTTTATTCAATTATGGTTAGGCATTTAGGCATGGACCGGTATCGGCTCGGGATCCGGCCGGGTTCTATAATTTTTTTTCTTTTCTAATTAATTCCCACCCCTACCCCCCAAACCCCACCAAAACATCCTGCCCAACCCGCTTACCACCAAAATAATTCGGAAAAAAGAAAAAAAATTGGGTCCGGACCTATTCCGGACTGGTCGGGCCGGTTCCAAGAGGGGCTGAGCTCGTGACTCGGAAAGAATTACCAAAAAACGGGAGTTTCGAGTCTGACATGCCAAAACACGGGACTTACGTTTAGGTTACCCAAAAACGTAAGTCAGAATTCCGTGTTCCGACCAGAGTTATATTTTCATTGCACACCTCCTGTCGGAATTGGTAAATCCGACTAGGAAGATTTGCTCAATTTCTTTTCCCTCCTTTCAGAATTGGTAGATCCGGCCTTTAAAAAAAAGATCAAACTAGGTAGATCGTTTTCTTTTTCTACAAATTATTGATCGAACAATAAAAGCCAAATATTTGGTTCCAAGTATAATATTTATGTACGTGTTCAATTTTAATCAGATTAATCTAATCAGATAAATTTGTTCAGATAAATTTAATCAGATAAATTTTAATCTTATAAATCTTAATCAGATGAATCTAATCAGATAAATTTAATCAAATAAATTTTAATCAAATAAATCTTAATCAGATAAATTTAATCAGATAAAATGAAATAGATAAATTAAAAGAGATAAGTTTAATCAGATAAATTTTAATAAGATAAATCTAATCAAATACCCGAGTAAAGTTTAATCAGATAAATTTTAATCAGATAAATCTTGTAACACCGTCCCCAAATATATTTACTTTTATGTAAATAATGTATTGAACCTTATTAAAGGATTAATGAATTTACGAAGTTGTAAATTTTTATTATTTCTTTCGCGTGAATAGTAAATTGCACGTGGGACCCACACCGGGAGCGGGGGCCGCCCGATATCCCCGAGATCACATAAATTATCATTATGGGTCGAAATAATATTTATATGGTGGTGGACATCTTATTTGGGCCATGGGAAGACCTGGGGTTGACCGATTGGTCAAAAGAAGCCCAATTACCGGTACCGACAATTAAACAGATAACAGCCCGAAAATGAATTTCGGAGACTTCCAAATTTTAGTTTTGGAATATATATTATTTCAAAGGGGAGTTATGATGGGGAACACATAATATATTTTATTTTACCCGATAAAATAAATTATGATTAAAACAGTCCGAAAAATACAACTTTCGGGACCGATTGTACACACCGGGACACAAAGGGATGACCTCCCACATGAGTGGGGGCCACCCCACGTTTTTTTGTGCTGTAACAACAAGGAAGGGCCTAGGTTGACAAAGGATTGAGTGGAGGAAGGTGCAAGGGGGCCCTTTGACCTCACTCATTTGCCAAAGGAGACAAAAAGGACACCCCAACCTCTCCCCTATGCATTATTTCGGCCTAGCTACCAAAGGAGGAGGAAGAAAAAGCTCTCCAACCCTTCTCCATTGCTGCAACTCGAGCTCAAGCAAGAGAGGTCCAAGGAGTGGGATTAAAGAAGGAAAAAGGCTAGGAAAAGTGTGTAAATTAAGGTAATGACCTCATTATAACTTTTCCTTTATTTTTCTCCTACCATATGAGATATATATCATGTGAAGAATCCTTAAGAGGGTTCTACATGTTATAAGTATGGATTTATGGGTTGGGAAGTGATTCTATGTCCAAGAACGGTCTTAGAAGCCAAAACGACCGGTTCACCGGAAAATAACCTTTTTGAGGTTATTTGTATTAATATGGGGTTTATGATTATAAAACCTTGTTAGGAACTTGTGAAAGGTATTTCAAGTGATTTCACAAAGTTGGAAAAGTCGCCGGAGTTGTCGCCGGAGTTGACCAAGTCGCCGGAGTTGTCGCCGGAGTTGACCAAGTCGCCGGAGTTTCACCGGAGTTCAACCAAGAAGGGTAGAACTTCTTAACGCTAGTTCAAGGTGAGTGGACGGCTTAATATCTTATAACTTTTGGGTTAATTATGAGATTACCTAAATAAATGTTATATGTGTTCATAATGAAGTTTAAAAGATATTTAAACATGTGATTAGCCAACATTATCAAGTTGTATGAAAAGAATTAATTGATTATGCATGAAATATGATATGAGAAATTATATAAAATGCACATTAGCTTGAAGTGTGAAAGAAGCTCAAATGAGTATTATTGACTTGATTATATGATGATTAAGTTGATATGTACAAGGCTTGAATTGGCGGTCAACGACAACGTTGACCGATGGATGATGGATTAATTAATATCGGTTGATGTTAGTTAATTATACATTTATATAAATGCATGGCTTTGCATGGATTGTGATACATAAGATTTGTGTATTGGATTAGTTATGAGTAACTAAGGATGGTATAGACTCTATCTAGGTTGATAGGAGGTTGATCATAGGGAAATATTTTGGTGGAGGACCCTAGTACTTAAAAGTACTTAACACTCAAAACTTGGTGGAGGACCCTAGTACTTAAAAGTACTTAACACTCAAACTTGGTGGAGGACCCTAGTACTTAAAAGTACTTAACACTCAAAACTTGGTGGAGGACCCTAGGACTTAAAGTCCTTAACACTCAAACTTGGTGGAGGACCCTAGTACTTAAAAGTACTTAACACTCAAAACTTGGTGGAGGACCCTAGTACTTAAAAGTACTTAACACTCAAAACTTGGTGGAGGACCCTAGTACTTAAAAGTACTTAACACTCAAAACTTGGTGGAGGACCCTAGGACTTAAAGTCCTTAACACTCAAACTTGGTGGAGGACCCTAGTACTTAAAAGTACTTAACACTCAAAACTTGGTGGAGGACCCTAGTACTTAAAAGTACTTAACACTCAAAACTTGGTGGAGGACCCTAGTACTTAAAAGTACTTAACACTCAAAACTTGGTGGAGGACCCTAGTACTTAAAAGTACTTAACACTCAAAACTTGGTGGAGGACCCTAGGACTTAAAGTCCTTAACACTCAAACTTGGTGGAGGACCCTAGTACTTAAAAGTACTTAACACTCAAAACTTGGTGGAGGACCCTAGTACTTAAAAGTACTTAACACTCAAAACTTGGTGGAGGACCCTAGGACTTATGAGTCCTTAACACTCACAAACCGGTGGAGTATCCAAGGATTTTGATCCTAAAACTCATAGATTATGATATACAATTAGGGACAAGGAGGAGTCCTATACGCTCATAGGTATATGGGTGGGTTGGGGTTTTTAGTCAAGAATATTGACTATTACTATTTTTCCCAAATAAAATGGTGATCTACGGATCGGATATTTTCCAAGTATATATATACTAATAAGTATTTCATAACTTGGGGGAAAGACTATTTATTTAAGTATCACCCTATGTTTGGGTCTTATACTTGAAACGCTAGTTATTCTATATTTAGCCTGCTACTCGCTCGGTACTTGTGCTGACCCCTTCGGGGGGCCCCACCATTTTTCAGGTTGAAGCTAGGGCTTGCTACTTGCACCTTCTCACGGGTGGTATCATATCGGGAAGACGTGGTTCGTGCTTCCTTATTTTCTTTCAAACTACTGAACACTTGCTCATGGATATTTGCTCTACTATAAACTATTTTTGGGGCTTGCATGCCCATGTTGTTGGCCGGTTGTGGCTTATGACTTACCGTTGAATATTTCCGCTATTCATTGGTTTAAATGTGATGTTATTATGTATGTTTACTACTGAGTATGGATGGATTATATTCTCGAACGCCTTGTGTAATTAAGTGAGGTTGACTCGCGGGTGACGTCACTTGATTATACGGCGGTTGTACACGTGCTTGGATTGCGGTCTGGGGCGTGACAATTAAGTGGTATCAGAGCCATCTCAGTTCTAAACATTATAATCAACCTCTCACAAAAGATTTTACAAAAGAGTTTTTACCGAAAACCATGAGCATTGTATTTTGACGTTTATGGGACTATTGGTGCTTAAGTTGCAAGGCCTCTGATTGTTAAGACGGTACCCTTAACAATTGGTATGGTAGTGACTTGGGCCAATACGTGTCTATAACGTTCTTCCGTCAATTGACATTTATAGGAGTCTAATGACTCATCCATATTTCTTTCAGAAATGGAGGGCAGGCGAATGAGGACCAGGAACAATCCGAGGGGGCAGGCGCCGGTAGCATCCCAAAGGGGAAGCCGGGCTGCATCTCGGGGTTCGAGAGGAGGCCGTGGAAGCCGTGGAGGTCATCAAGCTCAAACTGTGAGCGATGGCCATGTAAGCTCGGTGTATGAAACCAACACCGAAGACTACGACTCTACATATGTTCCGGAAACGGAGCACGAGGAGACCCCATATGATGGGGGTGACACGTACACGGACGATGATGATGAAGAGAGTGATGCCAAGTTCGCTCAAATGGGCGAATTGCTTGAGTGGTATCAAAAAGAAAAGCTGAGGAGAGACCTTAGGCGCCAAGCAAGGCGTGGCTCTCGCGGCGGTTCGGGTCAAGGAAGCCGGGGAGCTTCAAGGTCCACTCCCGCGGCTTCACATGGTGGGCGTGAAGGAGGTTTTTGTGTGAGAATCTCCAAGTACCTCAAGGAGGCTAGGGCCTTGGGGTGTAAGTCCTTTGACGGCACCGGTGACATTACCGTTGCCGCAGATTGGATTAAGAAGGTGAAGGATGCATCAAGAGACATGCAAATCACACCGGACGTGAAGTTGACTGTCGCTTCACGGTTACTTGAAGGGATAGCCTCTACGTGGTGGGAGAGCGTGGAGGGGAAGTACCATGGGGAAATAACATGGGCGGACTTTGAGCTAGAGTTCTATGCTCAATACTACTCCGAGTACGAGGTGAATGTGAAACGGAGAGAGTACACTAACCTCAAACAGAAAGATGGCGGCACAGTTAAACAACTGGAACAAGAGTTTAGAACCTTGGCTAGGTTCTTGCCGGAGTACGCGGTTGATGAGAACCGCATGACGGAGCACTTTTGGGATGCCCTACTCTTGGACATTCGTGACCGAGCTACGTACTCGCGCCACATGACCTTCAGCGAGGTGGTGGAACAGGGCCTTCTCGGGGAGGCCCAATGGAATGAGAGGAAAGAGAGAGACGCCGAAGAGGCGAAAAAGAGGAAATGGCAAAGTTCGGGGCCGCCCGAGCAAGCACGGAAGGATAAACACGGCGGAGGTGGCGGTTCGTTCAAGACTCCGGCACCACCGGCAAAGAAGAACAGGGATGCTCGGTGGCATGCATCCTCCTCCCAAAAGACGGGGCCTCCAAGGTGTACCAATTGTTCGAAAAATCACTTTGGGAAGTGCAATGCACCCCCGAGGTGTTATCAATGTGGGAACATGGGCCACATGAAGGCCAATTGCCCACAACTGGGGGGCGGAGGAGCTCCGGGATCCGGAGGAGGAACCATGACGGGAAGGAACCGTGCGGGCCCGTCAAACGGCGGTACGGGAAGAGGCGGCGCGTCCACAAGCCATGCCGCGTCCGTAAATCAAGGCGGGACCCAAGCACGAGTGTACGCAATGACCGAGGCGGATGCGCGAGCAAACCCGGACTCCGTTGCAGGTAATACACTTATTTTCCTGTATTTCTAGGCTTATTTGGGTCATATAAGTCATTGGGTTTGGGTGCGGGCCACCCCGGGGTCAAACCCCGCGAATTCGGGGCGAAACGGGCTAAAAACAACTACGCGCGATCGCGCGTACCTACAGACGCACGACCGTGCGTGCGAGGCAGTAGCCTCTGGTCATTTTCCGCGCAGACGCACGCCGTGCGTGCAGGTAAGGCACGCCGTGCGTGGGACGCACGATCGTGCGTGACCAGCTACGCACGATCGTGCGTAGCCGGCAGTGACGGATTCCGAGTTTCTCACGCACGCACGACCGTGCGTGCCACCCAGGCACGCCGTGCGTGGACCCCCAACACCCGAAAATTGATTTTTTCGCCCCGTTCTTCTACGTTTGGACCCCCGTTTGATCCCAAACATTAGTATGAACCTAATAACCTCCTAAAGATGTGTAAAAAACATTAGAAAAGGTATCTTACATGGTGTATAAATGTAGGAACATTAAAGATCAATGGTAGGTGTGCGAGGATCCTCATCGATACCGGGGCACAACGCTCATTTGTGAGTGAGGCGTTTGCCGAGGGGCTCGACGTGCCATTGACGCCTATGACACAAACATTGCTAGTCTCCACACCGTTAGGAGACGACGTGGAAAGAAATCATTACTATCCATCATGTGAGGTGGAAGTGACGGGTCAACCCTTGACTTGTGATTTCGTACCTCTAAGCATGTTGGAGTTCGATGCAATCCTAGGAATGGATTGGCTTGAGAAGCACCATGCTCGAGTTGATTGCTACACCAAGGTGTTGGAGCTCGAGGATGATCTAGGAAACACGTTATGTTTCGAAGGAGATCGGGGGAAATCTAGTGCTTGTATCATATCCGTGATGAGAGCACGGAAGATGATGAGGAAGGGATGCCACGCGTACCTTGCCTACGTGGTGGACGATACCAAGAAGGAAGTCGACATCAAAGATGTACAGGTCGTGTGCAAGTACCCGGATGTCTTTCCCAAAGACCTACCGGGGCTTCCACCCGATAGAGAGATAGAGTTTGTAATTGAAGTGGAGCCGGGAACCAAACCCATTTCGATTCCTCCTTATCGAATGGCACCGGCCGAACTTCAAGAGTTGAAGGTCCAACTACAAGAATTATTGGACAACGGATTCATCAGACCCAGTCATTCACCGTGGGGGGCACCTGTACTCTTCGTGAAGAAGAAGGATGGTACACTAAGAATGTGTATTGACTACCGACAATTGAACAAGGTCACAATCAAGAACAGGTATCCCTTACCGAGGATTGATGACTTGTTTGATCAGCTTCGGGGGGGCAATAGTGTTCTCGAAGATTGATTTGAGGTCGGGGTATCATCAGTTGAAGATCAAGGAGAGCGACATACCTAAGAGTGCATTCCGCACTAGGTATGGTCATTACGAGTTCCTTGTGATGTCGTTTGGTTTAACCAACGCACCAGCGGCATTCATGGACTTGATGAACCGGGTGTTTAGTGAATACTTAGATCAATTTGTGATAGTATTCATTGATGATATCTTGATATACTCCAAGAGTGAGGAGGAGCACGAGCATCATTTGGGGCTTATACTTGATCGGCTAAGGGAAAAGCAACTCTTTGCCAAGTTCTCTAAATGCGAATTTTGGCTCAAGGAGATTGGTTTTCTCGGTCACGTCATATCCGGTTCGGGCGTAGCTGTGGATAACGCCAAGATAAAAGCTATTATGGATTGGGAGAGACCCAAGAATGTGAAAGAGATACGTAGTTTCCTTGGCTTAGCGGGATACTATCGTAAATTTGTTGAAAAATTCTCCGTATTGGCGTCTCCATTAACGAAGCTCACAAAGAAAGGGGCCAAGTTCATATGGGACGACAAGTGTGAGAAAGGGTTCCTTGAACTGAAGAAACGACTTACCGAAGCACCAGTCCTCGCCCTACCCATACAGGGGATAGGGTATGATATATACAGCGATGCTAGCATCCAAGGGCTTGGATGTGTACTGATGCAAAACGGTAAGGTGATTGCCTATGCTTCTAGGCAATTGAGGAAACACGAGGTGAACTACCCTACCCACGACCTAGAATTGGGGGCGGTAGTGTTTGCACTAAAAATTTGGAGGCATTATCTCTACGGGGAGACATGTCACATTTATACCGATCATAAGAGCTTGAAGTATGTATTCACTCAAAAAGAGTTGAATATGAGACAAAGGAGATGGATGGAGTTGATCAAGGACTATGACTTGATCATCGACTATCATCCCGGAAAGGCCAACGTAGTGGCCGACGCACTGAGCAGGAAGAGTACGTCAGGGACGTTGCTTACTTGTCTGCAGGCATTGAGGGCACGCGTGGAGGTGTCCACGTGCGGGGCTCTCATTGCTCAATTTGAGGTTAGGCCCACCCTATTGGGTGAGATTAGTCGAAGTCAGGCCATTGATGAAGAATGTCAGAAGATCCGTGAAAGAATCCTTGAAGGACCCGTTGAGAACTTCCGAGTACGTGATGACGGTCTATTATTGTTTAAGGATCGTGTATGCATACCAAAGAATGAGGAACTCCAGAAGTCTATACTTGAGGAGGCTCATTCTTCAGCTTATGCTATGCATCCAGGAGGTACTAAGATGTACCGAGATTTGAAGGAAAGTTACTGGTGGTCAGGTATGAAGAGGGACATCGCAGAGTATGTGAGTCGATGCCTTACTTGCCAGCAAGTTAAGGCAGAACATCAGCACCCGGCAGGGCTTTTGCAGCCACTCACCATCCCAGAGTGGAAGTGGGAGCACGTGACCATGGACTTCGTGGTGGGGCTACCACGAACAGTGAACAACTATGATGCAGTTTGGGTAGTGGTTGATAGGCTCACCAAGAGTGCACACTTTTTGCCTATCAACATTACTTATCCTCTTGAAAGATTGGCCAAGCTCTACACGGAGGAGATTGTGAGATTACATGGAGTCCCGATATCCATTGTCTCGGATAGGGATCCACGATTCACATCCCGATTTTGGCCAAAGTTTCAAGCATCGTTGGGTACTAAACTGAAGTTTAGCACAGCTTTTCACCCACAGACGGATGGGCAGTCCGAACGGGTGATACAGATTTTGGAAGACATGCTTAGGGCATGTGCACTAGAGTTCCAAGGAAGTTGGGACAAACATTTGGCCCTAGTGGAGTTTGCTTATAACAACAGTTATCAAGCAAGTATTGGCATGCCTCCGTATGAGGCATTGTATGGGAGGAAATGCAGGACACCGTTGTGTTGGGACGAGGTTGGCGAGGCCAAACTCGAAGGAATAGAGCTGGTTGAGATCACCAAGGCCAAGGTAAGGATCATTCGGGATAGATTGAAGGCTGCTCAGGACCGACAGAAGAGTTATGCTGATAAACGGCGGAGACCGTTGGAGTTCGAAGTCGGTGATGAGGTCTTCCTAAGGATTTCTCCTTGGAAGGGCATCATCCGATTCGTATCGAGGGGGAAGCTTAACCCCCGATACATAGGTCCGTTTGAGATCCTTGAAAGGATCGGGGCCGTGGCTTACCGACTCAAGTTGACGCCTGAACTTGAGAAGATACATGACGTGTTTCATGTATCAATGCTCAAGAAGTACATACGAGACCCATCTCATATTCTTGAGAAACCACCGGTAGAGATCCGTGAGGACTTGCAATATGCGGTGGTACCAGTGAAGATTGTTGGTCAACAAGTGAAGAAGCTTAGGAATAAGGAGATTCCTATGGTAAAGGTTCTTTGGAGGAGTGATCGAGTCGAAGAAGAAACTTGGGAGACCGAGGTCTCAATGAGGGAGCAATACCCATTTCTTTTCGATTAGATACTTGGATTTCGGGGACGAAATCCCAAATAAGGGGGGGTGAACTTGTAACACCGTCCCCAAATATATTTACTTTTATGTAAATAATGTATTGAACCTTATTAAAGGATTAATGAATTTACGAAGTTGTAAATTTTTATTATTTCTTTCGCGTGAATAGTAAATTGCACGTGGGACCCACACCGGGAGCGGGGGCCGCCCGATATCCCCGAGATCACATAAATTATCATTATGGGTCGAAATAATATTTATATGGTGGTGGACATCTTATTTGGGCCATGGGAAGACCTGGGGTTGACCGATTGGTCAAAAGAAGCCCAATTACCGGTACCGACAATTAAACAGATAACAGCCCGAAAATGAATTTCGGAGACTTCCAAATTTTAGTTTTGGAATATATATTATTTCAAAGGGGAGTTATGATGGGGAACACATAATATATTTTATTTTACCCGATAAAATAAATTATGATTAAAACAGTCCGAAAAATACAACTTTCGGGACCGATTGTACACACCGGGACACAAAGGGATGACCTCCCACATGAGTGGGGGCCACCCCACGTTTTTTTGTGCTGTAACAACAAGGAAGGGCCTAGGTTGACAAAGGATTGAGTGGAGGAAGGTGCAAGGGGGCCCTTTGACCTCACTCATTTGCCAAAGGAGACAAAAAGGACACCCCAACCTCTCCCCTATGCATTATTTCGGCCTAGCTACCAAAGGAGGAGGAAGAAAAAGCTCTCCAACCCTTCTCCATTGCTGCAACTCGAGCTCAAGCAAGAGAGGTCCAAGGAGTGGGATTAAAGAAGGAAAAAGGCTAGGAAAAGTGTGTAAATTAAGGTAATGACCTCATTATAACTTTTCCTTTATTTTTCTCCTACCATATGAGATATATATCATGTGAAGAATCCTTAAGAGGGTTCTACATGTTATAAGTATGGATTTATGGGTTGGGAAGTGATTCTATGTCCAAGAACGGTCTTAGAAGCCAAAACGACCGGTTCACCGGAAAATAACCTTTTTGAGGTTATTTGTATTAATATGGGGTTTATGATTATAAAACCTTGTTAGGAACTTGTGAAAGGTATTTCAAGTGATTTCACAAAGTTGGAAAAGTCGCCGGAGTTGTCGCCGGAGTTGACCAAGTCGCCGGAGTTGTCGCCGGAGTTGACCAAGTCGCCGGAGTTTCACCGGAGTTCAACCAAGAAGGGTAGAACTTCTTAACGCTAGTTCAAGGTGAGTGGACGGCTTAATATCTTATAACTTTTGGGTTAATTATGAGATTACCTAAATAAATGTTATATGTGTTCATAATGAAGTTTAAAAGATATTTAAACATGTGATTAGCCAACATTATCAAGTTGTATGAAAAGAATTAATTGATTATGCATGAAATATGATATGAGAAATTATATAAAATGCACATTAGCTTGAAGTGTGAAAGAAGCTCAAATGAGTATTATTGACTTGATTATATGATGATTAAGTTGATATGTACAAGGCTTGAATTGGCGGTCAACGACAACGTTGACCGATGGATGATGGATTAATTAATATCGGTTGATGTTAGTTAATTATACATTTATATAAATGCATGGCTTTGCATGGATTGTGATACATAAGATTTGTGTATTGGATTAGTTATGAGTAACTAAGGATGGTATAGACTCTATCTAGGTTGATAGGAGGTTGATCATAGGGAAATATTTTGGTGGAGGACCCTAGTACTTAAAAGTACTTAACACTCAAAACTTGGTGGAGGACCCTAGTACTTAAAAGTACTTAACACTCAAACTTGGTGGAGGACCCTAGTACTTAAAAGTACTTAACACTCAAAACTTGGTGGAGGACCCTAGGACTTAAAGTCCTTAACACTCAAACTTGGTGGAGGACCCTAGTACTTAAAAGTACTTAACACTCAAAACTTGGTGGAGGACCCTAGTACTTAAAAGTACTTAACACTCAAAACTTGGTGGAGGACCCTAGTACTTAAAAGTACTTAACACTCAAAACTTGGTGGAGGACCCTAGGACTTAAAGTCCTTAACACTCAAACTTGGTGGAGGACCCTAGTACTTAAAAGTACTTAACACTCAAAACTTGGTGGAGGACCCTAGTACTTAAAAGTACTTAACACTCAAAACTTGGTGGAGGACCCTAGTACTTAAAAGTACTTAACACTCAAAACTTGGTGGAGGACCCTAGTACTTAAAAGTACTTAACACTCAAAACTTGGTGGAGGACCCTAGGACTTAAAGTCCTTAACACTCAAACTTGGTGGAGGACCCTAGTACTTAAAAGTACTTAACACTCAAAACTTGGTGGAGGACCCTAGTACTTAAAAGTACTTAACACTCAAAACTTGGTGGAGGACCCTAGGACTTATGAGTCCTTAACACTCACAAACCGGTGGAGTATCCAAGGATTTTGATCCTAAAACTCATAGATTATGATATACAATTAGGGACAAGGAGGAGTCCTATACGCTCATAGGTATATGGGTGGGTTGGGGTTTTTAGTCAAGAATATTGACTATTACTATTTTTCCCAAATAAAATGGTGATCTACGGATCGGATATTTTCCAAGTATATATATACTAATAAGTATTTCATAACTTGGGGGAAAGACTATTTATTTAAGTATCACCCTATGTTTGGGTCTTATACTTGAAACGCTAGTTATTCTATATTTAGCCTGCTACTCGCTCGGTACTTGTGCTGACCCCTTCGGGGGGCCCCACCATTTTTCAGGTTGAAGCTAGGGCTTGCTACTTGCACCTTCTCACGGGTGGTATCATATCGGGAAGACGTGGTTCGTGCTTCCTTATTTTCTTTCAAACTACTGAACACTTGCTCATGGATATTTGCTCTACTATAAACTATTTTTGGGGCTTGCATGCCCATGTTGTTGGCCGGTTGTGGCTTATGACTTACCGTTGAATATTTCCGCTATTCATTGGTTTAAATGTGATGTTATTATGTATGTTTACTACTGAGTATGGATGGATTATATTCTCGAACGCCTTGTGTAATTAAGTGAGGTTGACTCGCGGGTGACGTCACTTGATTATACGGCGGTTGTACACGTGCTTGGATTGCGGTCTGGGGCGTGACAAATCTAATCACATAAATTGAGCAGGGTAATGATCATCATACTAGTCGTTCCGCCGTATCAACATCTGTCTTGACAAGGTGGGCGGACCAACATAATAGTGGATACACGCTGTATTACGAAAAACAAAGGATGTCATGTGTCGGGAACCCTTCTCACGTTGTGCCGGCGACAGGCTACACCCCGACATGGCGAGGACATGCCAGGGCCGAGCACGCAACGTTAGATGTAGAATTAAATTTATTATTGTATGTACAAATTTATTTATGGAATTACATTAAAAAACTACATGTGGCATGTTCACTTCCATTAAATTACATATATTGCATTTTAAAAAAATCAAATTTATATTTCAAATTAGGATTGTCTTATTTTTATTCCCAAATATGACTAGTTATTACTATGTTTTGAATGTACCAGACTTTAAACATGTCAATATTTTTTGACCTTGACAATAATTATTCCTATTTTGAGCATAAAAATATGGCAGTTCTATTTTGAAATTTTTAAACGTGAAGATGCAGATGAACATGAAGATGGGGGGTGAACAATCACAATCGCCCCCTCAACTCTCAACACGTCAAGGTGTCTCATTTGATCAACCACTGACGTGCACTTTGTCGTGTATGCACTCAAAATAATAATCAATACGACATGATACGTAGTATAGTGTAGTAAGGTTCGTATCCACAGGGAAAGGAATACTTCTCTTTTTATAAAACTGGAAATAAATAACAAGGTTTTTTTTAGATTGATTGATGAACTTAAATTATATTTAAGCACGAAAATGAACGACTTATGTGGTCTAATTAATGATGAGGGGACTTGGTTTTGCTTTTATCCACTTAATGAAATGTTCGTCGATCCCGGTTGTATCTTTAACTATCTTCCTCTCGAATACTCAATCGAGGAATATATCCAATTCATCGAGGGTATTTATTAATAACGAGACACGTTCATTAATAAAACTTACTACCGAGCCAATATAGAACACACACCGTATATTCACTCGGTAGTAGCAATAAAATCAAGATGAAAACGATTGAGATTGAGTACCTTAACACAAGCGGTTTATTGGTTTAATCAATATAATTAATTCCCCTTAGATTATTAACCATGAGACGCATGCATTAATAATCCAAGTTTACTACCGTGAAAGGACCGAATTAATAACAAGCGTATTAATCGACCGATTCTATTATTAATTAATATATGAAACAAAACTAGTTGATCCTTTAAGTAATGCTCAAAATATTAATATGAAATAAGAATATGAATTAATTAATATTCAAGGAAAAAGATTAAAGAAAACAACTCACAACTTACAATTCATTAAGCTTCAAAGTAGCAAAACCAAGATGTAAGAGTTTAGCTCCTCATTTAGAGACTAAACATGAAGAAATTATAAAGAAATAACTTGTCTAAACTGAGCTTAGAAGTATATAGGAATTGGTCTTTTATTGTGGAGGAAATGAGGTGTATCATTTGATCAACCGCCGCCGTATTATGATTCTTATCAGTACTCCACACAGGCAGGTGATTATGTTGAGTCAATTCTGATTTCGTCGTTTTATTATGGAGACACAACGAGGACTTGGAACACTGGTGGCGGGGACGGAGCAGGGCCGAGCACGCAACGTTAGATGTAGTATTAAATTTAATATCGTATGTACTATCTATTCATTAATAAATTAGTGTCTATTCGTTGTTTTGTTCACTTCCATTAAAATTACAAAAATTGCACTTAAAATTACAAAAATTGCATTGAAAACAAAATTCACAACACAAATGGATAAAAAAACAATATAAAGTAATCAAATGTTTTGTTACTCAAAAAATCAAAATGCATTATTTTCATTTTAAAAAATATGACAGGAATTTAAAACAACTTTTAAATTTGGAATTGATAAAATTAATTTAAAACTTTAGTTTTAATTTTTTTTTTATAACCGACTTTTAAAAATTTGAAAATCAAAGAGTTAAGAACTAAGAATTCGGCCAAAAAAAAATATAAACTCCTCCTTGTCGGATTAGCCACTTCCGACAGGAGGGGATTTTTTGTTTTTCAAGAACCATGCCGCTAGTCGGAACAAGCTGTTCCGACTCCCTCTTTTTCGTAAACCCTCAAAAATTCCCCGTGTTTTGGCAACCCTATCCAACTTTTCCCGTCTTTTGGTAAAACACCCCGTGACTCGCCCCAAACCCCCTCTGGTCTGGGCCCAGGCTTGGTCCCGGTCCCGGTTCACCGGGCCGGTGCCACACAGTAGCGGTTCCACTCCATGCTTAATTTTGGTAAGATTTTCTCCACAATGTCAAGAAGACCGTGTAGATGTTGACATTGTGGTTGACCTTGTAGAGAAAAACTAACCAAACTTGTATATAATCATTTAAATAAGAAATTCAAGTCAGGTCTGGGACTGAAAATAGTCCAAGGAAAAACATCCTTACATTGCGGTCTCTGTCGGATTAGACTGGCCCGAAGGCAAATCTATTGTAGTTAAGTGACACATATGTTCTACAAAAGCAACATAGCGAATATTCATCGATTGATAAGAAAACAACCAAGAAAATAACATATATAAATGGGAGTAGCACATATATAGCAAATATCGAATGGGCTAAAACAAACATCACACTTTAATAACAACATCAATCATCAGGTAACGAATATAATCAATGTCGACATGCGATGGTTGTGACATAATTAATGGCAAGGAGTTCGGGGAATCAGGGGTGTTTGGAGGAAGTCATCGGCATGTATGAGATACAATTGGTCGTCTATGTTTATGAGAGATGATTTTTTGGTTAAAGAGATGTCACCATGTGACAGTGATGAAATTAAAAATTTGATAGTGGAAAGGCCAAAGAGCAATATAAGCGAGCCTTTAAGTGACTATCGTGTTAATTTTTTTTATTATCAAAACAGACCTCTATTCATATCAAAAGATTCAGGATCATTACATCAAGCGAAGAGGAAATAAAACTGACACCAACTGAGATTCCAACAACTACGAATGTAACCCTATGGTGAGACTTTGAGACGGTCACCCCTGAGAGAGCAACACGAATCGATTACCATGTAGTGGGCTTGACACAGGCAAACATGTTCACATAGATCCAACCATACCCAATGACATAAATAGAGGTAAAAAACTCAAACAAACTGTCAAAACCAACAACAAAAATGGACACAAGAAAACAATTAACAAACAGATAAAAACTACAAGAAAAACTTTCACGAACTCTAGCACATCGTACATCCCATGGTGGTGGTTCAGGAGGAGGTCATACACCAGTACCATGCTAATTGGTCCTCCATAACCTTTGGCTGCCAAAGACCAATTGACCATGCATCAATCCTTCGTCCCTGCATAACCAAACTCATCCCTGCTCCGTACGACCAGAGTAAACGGATAGGCGGCGCCGATCTTCTCCAACTACGACAGCAACGCTGCATCCTCGAACCTTGACCACAACGCTGATCTCCACGAGCCATGACAACAAATCCGCCCTCCTCCACCGATCTCCGCCCTCCGCGTCTGACCTGGACTTCAGCCGAGCACCAGCGACCAAGAGATAGCAAAGTCGATCTTCGATAAAGTCGAAATCAGAAAAAGGCTCCAGCGGTCAACAGAATCGAAGCCCCAGAGAGAAAACAAGTAATTGTCTATCATGTTAATTATGCACCTATTCATCCATAAAAAGTTGACTTCACATGTATCAGTAAGCTAATAGTATAATTTGACTTAAACTCACATTTTTGGGTCATATAATACTTGACATTCTATTTCAAAATCATTAATATGTGCACTATTTTCAAAACCATCAATATTACATTCTACTTCCTCCGTTCTTTATTATTTGTCTCGCATTCCATTTTGGGACGTTTTTTATTATTTGTCTCTCTTTCTATTTTAGGAAAGTTTTTGATAAAATACCCCCACTTTTTTTACTTTTACCCCTCTTACTTTTTACAAACTATTTTCTCTTTCCTACTTTATCATAACTTTACTCTACTTAATATACTCTCTTTCCTACTTTATCATCACTTTATCACAACTTTACTCTTTTTAATATACTCTCTTTCCTACTTTATGATTTACCCTACACACTCTACATTTACCCTACTATTTTTCTATTAAAACCCGTGGCCAAGACTAGCGGGACAGATAATAAAGAATAATGTTGAAAATAAAATACACTCGAATAGAGTCACGTTGTATTTTGGCTCAAATACAATACATTGGCTTAAACCTTAAACCTCTCCCCCTACCCAATGGCGCAAATTTTAAATTTTTTAATTTTGCTAGTCCTGTCACCCGTGAATGAGTGGATGAATGAATAACTCAGTGGGAAAAGAGCGAATCACTGAGTAGTAGTGACGAATAATTTGGATGAAAAAGCGCGCGGCCGAGTTGATCTTCACTTATTAGGGTTTCAATTTCACTGATCAGCCCCTCATACTGAGCTCCCCGAACAGAAACAGACTGGAGAAACACTTGTTTTCAATGGCGGATACTCTGAATACGAACAACCAAGCTCTTACCGCCACCAAGACCGTAGACGCTTCACTCTGGTGGGACTCATTTTCTATCTTGCTCACAGAACTTGAAAATGTTTCTTCCTCATCCGATACTACATCTTCTCTGGTACTGTATATCATTTCCGCTATCTCAAATAAATAAAGGGAATTATATGCAAACGTTCGAGTTTGACATTTTATTTTTTCCAAACCAAGGAAACAAAGCTGAAGGAAAATCACCAGTGGTTCCTTGATGCAAAATCACTATTTAAAACCCCGAATCAGAAATCTAGAGAGGCCTTGGATGCCAGCTTTGTAAGCATTGGTTCCAGACAGATAAGAATAAGTCCTGAACTCAAAGAGACAGCCCTAAAAATTAGTTCTATTCTGGTAAACTTTCTAAACTGAAATAACTCTTTTCCCTGTAGCAAGTTTATGTTATGTTATTATGAGCCTGTACTAACAGGCAATGTGGCCTCTCATGCTACTTTGGTCACTGATGTTGAGCTTATTATGGAGTTTTTCCTGAAAAAGAGACTATTTTGTGTATTTTAGTGTTTGGATGAAGTGCAATCATACATCCTTGTTGAAAGAACACTCAAGCAGAACTCTTTAGCCAGACATGCAGCGATCCACGAGCTACCTCATTTGGTTAGTAGCAGCTATATTTATTTTCTTGCCTGTACTTTATGCTTAGCAATGTTTACTGATGAGTCCCTAACTGATTTTTCTTGATGCCACTAACTATAAATGTTAGTGAATCGTTTGTTCATTGTGATCAAAGTA